GGGGGGGGGGGGGGGGCGGTGCCATGGAGGCTTGCGCCAGGCGCTGTGCTGACCACCGTCCTCCCGCGAGGGCGCAGCCTGGGAACCCGCCGCATGGGCCCCCGCGTCTCAGGCCCGCGGCCCGGCCGGGAACCGGTGGCCCGGCTTCCCGTCAGCAGGCGCGGGCTGGACCGGAGCCCTGCGGGCACTCGGCGCGCGGCGCATCATTACCTGGCCAGTGTAGTTTTCCCCGAGCCCGGGAGGCCTCGCAGGAGGTAGAGGTGTTTCCGAAAGCTGTGGCGGCGCGGAGGTGTTCCACGCGGGGGCGGCGGAGCTGGCGGCCGAGGCGGCTGCGGCTGCTGCTGCCGGAGGCTCAGCCTCCCAAAGGATTCAAGAAAACTCTCCTCCATGGGGTGGGGGCTGGCGGCGGGAACCCTGCGTTCCCTTTCCTGAAGTCACGGTCTTGGCCAAAGCTGTTGTTTTTGTGGCTCTCCGGCCATGTGATAGATGGAGGGGCGGGCGCTCGCAGCCCAGCCCCTCCTTCCCACCCGCCCGAACCGCGCTGCGTGGGAGGGGTCGTCCCTACCTGGAAAGCCGGGGACGCTGGGAGACTGACAGCCACGAAAACCTCGGCGACCGACCTCCACTCCCCTCCCACCGCCCACCCTCACCTCCAGCCCAGCCCGTGCCTCCCTGCGCCCGTCGCCCTGGGCCCACCGAGCGGGACCCTGGGCACTTCCCCGGGCCGCCCGCGTAGAAGGCAGGCCTTCTGCAAAAGCCCTACCCCATCCCACCGCCCACTAGGCCTTGAAAGTGAAATAATTTTAGTTGACGAAGAGAACGTGAACAGCATTTTGAACAGTAACAGTAAAAACCATAGTCTCCCCCAGTTTGTGAGCACCAATATCTGGCTGGTGTCCCAATGGCTAATGCCACTCTCCCAGGACCTGTATAATTCCTTTTTTTTTTTTTAATTCTTCTTTATCAGCCTGCCAAAAATATTCTTAGAAAGCTTTGTTGCTTCTACATAACTTTAGAAATCTCTTCTTCAAAACAAGGCACCCCTTAAAACTCAGATAGATTTATGGACAGTAGTATAAACTAGGCCTCCTGAGAAAGAAGGGTTACTGCCCAGGTACACGCTTTGTTGCCTGAAAAGCCGTGGTCTCCCCAGAAACTATTTCAGCTCCCCAGGGAAAGGAGCAGTCTACTGACACTAGAGAGAAGCATCCAGAATTCAGTTCTAAGTTCCGGGAACTGGTGAGCGCCAGTTGGTTGATCACCACAGTACTTTCCAATATTTCACACTCAAGAGTGTGATAGAAAGATCCTATTTTCTGAACTAAAATCCAAGACGCATGGACTGAAAGAGACAATGTTGAAAATTAACACCATCTTGGAAAAATCCCAGATATATGGTGGCTTGGGCTGTAATAACCATTGTAAAGCAAATACATTTTGTTTCTGGCAGCTAAGGTATGAAAATTTTGAAAAGGAACTGTGAAGAAAAGCAATTTACTTCTAAAACAAAACCCAGGAATTGCACAATGAGCTCTGGAAGGCACTCTCCAAGTAGGGAGGGGCTCTGTGCTCAGAATTTCACCTTCCTCTTGGGGTTCTACTAGAGAGGGGCAGGGGAAGACAGGGAGGTGAGCTACTCTCTCTTGACATATCCCTTTCCAGCACTGGAGCAAGGATTTTTAGCACTGCTGAGAAACACTGAAATTTCAAAAGCTTCTCTAAATATTAGGGGAAAACCATAAGGAACAGAGACTATAGATAAATCATAAAAATAGTGATGCTTATCAAGTATATCATACCATATACTTCTATGTATCCTAGTATACTTCTTAAGAACTTTTTGCCCAGCCTCAAATACTACCATTCCATTCTAGACTTGTGTTCTCTAATACAGGAGTCACAAGCCACAGGTGAAATATGACTGGTCCAAGTGAGATTGGGGCATCCCTGGTAGCTCAGCTGGTAAAGAATCCACCTGCAATGCAGGAAACCTGGGTTCCATCCCTGGGTTGGGAAGATACCCTGGAGAAGGGAACAGCTACCCACTCCAGTATTCTGGCCTGAACCATGGAGTCACAAAGAGTTGGACACAACTGAATGACTTTCACTTTCACTTTTCACTTTCAAGTGAGATTAAAATACATAATCTCAAAGGTTCCATATGAAAAAAATGAAGTAAAATATCTCAATAACTTTTATATTCATGTGTTGATAGTATGGTGAGTACATTAGGTTAATATATTATTAATTTCATGTTTCTTTTTACTTTTTAATGTGGCCAATAGAAAAGTCTGAATTATGTATGTGGCTGACATATTTCCATTGGACAGTGTTGCATGAGACTTCTGTCCATTTCTCTTTCCTTCTGTAGAGGGTGTCCCAGGCAGCATGGATGGGGCAGCAGGAGGACACACAGCTTTGGGGACTAGAAGTTTGGGCACACTGAGACTGCAGTGTCGCTGGCAGCTGGAGCACTGAAGGAGGTGCTGGGAAATGTGAGTGTGCTGTGAGAAGAGAGGTCTTGAGCTGGAGGCAAGCGCTTTGGAAATTCCTGCCCTGTACGAAGACGGAGAATAGAGCAGACAGCTGAAGTCGGGGCTTCGGGATCACACTTAAGGTCTGTGCACCACCCCCCCAAAGTGGATCTGTTGAAAGAAAGTACAAGGGACAGACAGAACTCTAAGAGAGTGTGTAAAGCCCAGGGAGGGAGAGCTGGAGGAGGAGAAAATGTCTGGCAGTATCTGAAAGTGACCCTAGACACTTCTCCTTTCTCTTAGCTCTCAGATTTAACTGGTCAATAGGCTCTGTTTTCCCCAATTTATTTCTCAGAACCACAGTTTGTTTAAAGCTGTTTGTGTATCTGTTTCTTACCACTAGACTAAGTTCAAAGGCAAAGACAGTGTCACCCTTGTCACCCCAAGAGCTAACACAGCGTCTGACATTCAGAGGTGCTCAATAATTGTATATGGACCTGAACTGCCTTCCCAGTAAATGAGTCTGAGGGTGGGCTTTACTAAAGATTAAGACTGAACAAAGATAGAGACGACTTCAATTGAGGAGTAATGTAAACACAGTCAGTGACCACATCAGCAGTTCTGAGGGCCACAGTACTCTCAGATAACGTCTACGGTCAGATCCTCACTGGCCCTAACGAGGTGGCAGCCTCCAGAGAGGAGGGCTACCCTGGGTCAGAGGATCCCTGCGATTAACACTCCTTCATGCCCTCAGTTCATCCAACCAGGTTTTTCAGCTCTAAAGTTCTATTCCATTTCTCTAGAATGTGATGACCAGCACAATCTCACTTTGCTGTCCTACAAACCATTACTATGATGAGGTAAAGAAAATAATCTTAGAAGTAGTTTTTGGCAAGCAAAGAAACATTCAAATCTTTCTCTAATTATTACTGTTTAACAAGATGTGGAAAAACAAGGGGGTACACAGGAAGAGCTCATGGAAACCGGAAATTTAACCCTTGAACCTACAGTTCCAAATACTCCACAATTTGGAATGCTTAAATCAGCCCCAAGTTTCTCCCCTGCAGATGCCATATAGCAGAAAGTCTGAAACCAAGATGAAGCTTCCAAAGCAGTGTAAGCAAAGACCCTGTAACAGAGTAGAACCATTTAAAATACAGAGGTAGTAGCTTCTCAATTCTCATTCTATGTCCTTTCTTCCCCTACCAAAAGCTTTTATCTGATTTCCCTACCAAAAGTTTTGATAGATTTTTTTACTCAAAAAAAGTCTTATATAAATTTTTACCTTGTTACATATATATATATGACATGAACTGAAAGAATAGGGAAGCATCCATCTGTTCCTGTTTAGCTGTTTCTCTGGGGGACCCCTCGTTGCTCTAGCACCTCCAGCTTTCACCTTCCACCAGTCTGCACTGCACTATTTGGCCATTCAGAGGTAGCGCCTCTCTACTTAAAACTCCTTCCTCCTGGCTCTTCCCTCGTCCTTCCCCTAGAAGCTGGATGAAGGATACAGGAAGCTGGAAGAGGTTAGGGAAGGGGGACAATGGGAGGGCAGTCATGCAGAGTGTCTGCTGGGCTGAATCAATAAGGGAAATGCTCAGGACTTGGTGGCCTGGGATAACTCTGCCAACACAGAAATGTCCTCTGGATAAAAGTGACTTTGCTCATTCTAACATCACATTACCTCTGCCTCCTACATTCCATCCCTCTCTCTATTTGAGATCATACTCCTCTCCCTAGGCAATAACAATAATCTGTTTCTGCAGCACCAAGTATTTGCCACTGTGCATAGGGACACTTGAGGAGTATAAGCTTTGAAGAGGAAGTCTGGGAGGTGGGGAAAGTAGTCCCAGCCCATTTTTCTAAAGCTCCATTCTGGAAATTAGGGCAAGGTAATAAAGGCAGTGGCTGGAGAAAGCTGGGGGCATCCTGGACCCTAAGTACAAGCCTGGGTGGATAGTTAGCAGATACGCTTCAATACAGCACAGAGTCTCAGAATTGGTCATTAGCCATGCCACACTCACTGTTAAATATTTATACTGTTACCCTTATGCACGGCCATGGTGGCATATTCATTAGAAACCCATAAATGTTGCTACTGAAGGGCCTAAGAAAGCAAAGATTTGCCAGATGCCAGAGTCTCCTCTGCAGCCATCTATGTTTCAACCCTAATACTGATTATCTCTTGTCTGAAATCATCCCATCCTAGGCCAAAGGTGAGTCCAGTTTCACAACAGCACTAGGAGCCTGCACAAAGAGCAAGATCTCAGGGAGTTCAACCAAACACTGGAGACCTTGGTCTCTGTCTGGATCAGACTTATGGTCTAGCAGAAAGATAAACTGAAACTGTACAAAATGAACTAGGGAAAATGTTGAGCTATTTTAAATAAAACACTCAATTCCCAGTCAAGCAGATGGAATACAAATAGTTAGCTTCCAGTCTCTCATTGAAACCCCAGGAGAATATAGAGGCTTTTTTTTGGCCGGGGGGTGGGGCGGAAGGGAGTGTTAGGAGAATGGGGGATATGAGTATTATTTTTAAGTATTAATATAAACTGTAAGAAAAAAGGTCACAGCAACAAAATAATTAAAAACTGGAAAGCAAAAGGCCTAGTGTTAACTAATTTGGAAAAACAATTAAGAAACAAAACTTGAATTATAGAAAGTCAAGAAGAAATACCATTTACTCTGCATAACACCTAAAATTTCAGGAACTGGAAAATTCAGGGCTGGAGGTGGGGCTCTAAACAGGAAAGTTAGTTAAAAGTCTGTTTAAGAAACAGACATCCACACAGTCGGGCAGCCCTCTAGAGAAGTCTGGAGGTTTATTCCCTGGAGAAGATAAAACAGGATGAGAAGAGTAGAAGGTAAGATAAGGCAGGCAATGCTCTCTTTCCGAAAACAGAGGGATTACATAAATGCCTACATGTTGAATAATGAGACATCACACCTTGTTTTTCAAATATGAATTTTCATATTTGAAATCTGTTAAGTACAATTAAACTGAAATAATAGCAATAATAAAAATAATAGTTACTGTAGCATAGTGTAAGTCCCACAATCCCTAACCAAAATCCTTGAGGTCAGAATTGTTTCAGAATTCAGAAAGTTTTTAGTGGGGTCTAGGGCACCCCTGGTAATTAAACACATTAATATTTCTCCAGTGAAATGTCTGAAAAGTCATACTACCTGGGGGAAATAAGGAGTAAAACTAACTTGACTGTTTAGGTCAAATTTTGCTGCCAACTTAATTTTAATGCCAGACATTTAAGAAACAAAACAACTTTTGGTTTTCAGAGCTTTCTGGATTTGAAATTCTAGAAATGGAATCATGGACCCACATTTGGATAAAGGGGCCTATCCTTCTATTCTGATGCAATTTTAAAAATAATCTACTCAAGTTTCCTGGGTCTTATTTTCTTCGTGAAATAAAATAGGGCAAATATCTTCAAAATTAGATAATAAATTATTGAAGTTATTACCTCTTTTGCTGAGTTTTTTATTAGTATTCAGGAAACTGATCAGAATAGTTGAACAGATTATTCAAACCAATTTCAGTCCAATGACTTATAACACTCTACATTATCCTTCGGGTTGGCACCGAGCTCTCTTTCTTGATGATCAGGATCTTCAACAGTACCTGGAAGATGGAGAATTCAACTGCAAACAAACACAAGCCCAGACAAGTCCAGACAGAATGGTGACAGAAATGGAGTTTGTCATCAGTTTCCCAAGCTCATGACTATTTATGCGCCCCGCCCAACCCGGCATCCAGAATTTCACAGTCCCACAGTGCCCACACCCTGCCTGGTCTCGCTTCATTCAAGAGCCTGTCCTCTGGATTTTGCCCAACCTTCTGTTTCTAAATCAAAGCCTGGTCTATGTCCCATTCCCTGATGATCCAGCTTTTTTACACTGTAAAGTTAAAAATAAATACACTTAATTCATGCAAATGTGTTAACAAGTTTATTAAGTCAGTACGTTGCTCTGCCAGGAGCATTTCAAATCAAAGCTGCAACCAACAAAGATACTCAGGGGAAGGGAATTAACCCTTACTAAGAGCTTATTATTTTTCAAAAACTTTGCACAAGTTATTTCATTTAATCCTCATTTAATATCCCCATGACAGATTAGTATCATAAACCTGTTTTTTTTTTTTTTTTTTTTTCAGGTGAAAAAATTGCAGCTTTGAGAAGGCAATTTGTTTAAGGTCACATAGCGGATCGGCAGGAGCTTCAAGATGGGAACCCATCCTCTTTCCAGCAGGCTGCCCTACCTCCTTAAAGGAGTGAGGCAGTATAAACACTCTGGCCACCAGCAGGCAGAGGATTTGAGGCTCCAAGAGCCAACCACATTCTCTAGCTATTTCCTTCTTTTTAATTTCTGTTTACCACTTGAGGCCCACTGATCATTATGCCAAAGACAAAACCAAAAGGCCCATTCTCATTACAATTATAAAAATGCTGTACATAGCTACAGCACTCATAAAATTTCCCAACAAGAGAAGACTAATAATTAGGGATGCCTGCTCTATGAGGTTCACAGAGGGCAGTCAGTTTAGCATGAATGTAAAAGATGAACACAAAAATCAAAAGTATGGTTCATAAAGTGTCCTTGACACAAAATCAGCAGATAGAAAAGACCCACCAAATTAGCCACTGGCAAATATGCCCATGCTTATTGTGTGCTGTTTATCCTGGTGTCACATTGAGGGGAAAGGTAAACACTCTCTTCCTAACTTCAATCCTCACATAAACTCCATGAGGCCAGTTTTCACTGCTACATCCTCAGTGTGTAGAAAAATGTCTAAACTGAGGCAACTCAATAAACACTTGCTGAACAACTGAATGAATTTGTTCATGTCCTTTCTCTGGAATCTCTTCCCCTCCTCTATCTATCCCACATTTTCTAGTGGTTCCTTTCTCCCAAATCTTTAGTCTTTCCCCTTCTTTCAGCAGAACCTAGTTTAAAACAAACAAATATTTTTACTGGGCATATGTGCGTTTCTAGTTAGCTGAGAAATGGAAACACAGAATACTCTTAGAAATAAGAGTTATAATGAAAAGAGAAAACATATGGTTAATGCAGAGTACATTCAATTCTTATCAAGTGCAGATATATACTGAAATAGTAGCAGCTGTGTTTAATTCATAATTTAGGCATTTGAAAAAAAGTGCAATGTTTTTATTTTAATGTCAGTTTGTGTCAAGTTTAAAATATAACATGCATTTGTCTACATATTTTACCTCTTTTCCTAGAGAATCTTTTAATATTTAAATATAACCTATATCCCTAATTCCCAGTCCTCATCACATATCAATCTGTGGGGGGTGGGAAGAGAATTCATCATAAACTATGTATTGACAGAATGCTCTAAAATATATTCTAACAAATAAAGTTGGAAAATAAATTTGGTAGCAACAATCTAAGCTTTGTTGTATTTCACAAAAAGATCTACATTTAAAGGAAATAAAACATCACATGTGCAACAGCACACAGAGTTGCTATGGTAACAGACTACATTTTTTGTATTTACTCTTCTATTGTACATATGAGCTATTACAACCAAATAATGTCAACATCCATTTCCTTCTGATCATATACAGGTCTCTGGAATAAGTTGTACTTACAGTTTAAGGAGTTCTCATTTTTTTTTAACCAATCTTCTTCTGTCTTTTCTAGAAATTATAATTAAAATACATATAATAATAATGATTAATATAGGGCACTGGGGTTAAGTTTTGCACCATCATTTAACTCACATAGGAACACTCCTCAAATGAAAAAGAAACCTAATAAACACAAATGTCAGTTTAAACATTTAAAGTATCCATGTGTTTGTGTGTTTGTATGTATGTATTTGGGTAGCAACAAGGTCTCCATGCAAATGAGGAGAAATAAGAAATTTTTAAAAATGTATTTGGTTTTACTACCTGAGCACACAAATGAATCTACTTTTCCCACAGCTGTGTTTACATGAAAAGATAAGAAATACCTACTACCCTGAACATGTAATTCTATAATGGTTCCCTAAACCTTGATTTTACTATTCATTTCAAAATGTACCTCTAGCATTGATTGCCCTTGAGCACATTTAAGTAACTACCAACTAACATAAACAGAATCCCAGCATCTCCTCATTACAAGATACAGAGGACTGGCTTTTCCAGAGTCTCTGTTACCTTTCTAACCTCAGCCAGTCCTCCTCCAGCTGCCTGGAAAATTAATAGCCTGTCAGAACTGTCATGGACCACTAGAACGTACCAATAATGAGGTGCTTCCAAGTTAAGTAAATATAAATCTAATTTGTAGCTGTTACTCTATTATAATAAGACTGAGGAGTGGACAGAAGAAAAAGATGTAAAGAAAGATAAATGACTCTCCTAAAACAGGCACCTCAGTCACCCACAGTTGACTCCCTACAACAACGTTAGGGAGTTAAATGCAACTTTCTCTCTGGGACTAATTGAAAGAAACATGCATAGATTATCCAACCATTCACATACATCCTTTCTCTAATTTAACACAAAGGATGTAGCTCTTCATGTTACATTCGATGAATAGGATTTCTTTTTTTTTAAGAAACCAGTTAGAGGGCATTATGCTAAGTGAAATAAATCAGAAAGGAAAAGACAAATACTATAAACATCATATGTGGAACCTAAAAATACAACAAACTAATTAATAAAACAACAAAAGAAGATTCAGATATGGAGAACAAACTAGTGGTTATGGGAGGCAGGGGCAATATAAGCGTGGAAAATGGGAGGTACAAACTACTGGGTGTAAGATAAGCTCAAGAATGTATACAGACTTCCCTGGTGGTCCAGTGGTTGGAAATCCACCTGCCAATGCAGGGGACATGGGCTTGGTCCCCTGGTCCGGGAAGATTTCACATGTTGCAGAGCAGCTAAGCCTGTGTGCCACAACTATTGAGCCTTTGGTTCTGTAGCCTGCTAGAGCCTACTACTGGAGCCTACATAGCCTACTAGAGCCTATAGGTTCTGAAACAAGAGAAGCCATGGCAATGAGAACCCACGCACTGCAACTTGAGAGTAGGCCCTGCTCTGCGCAACTAGAAAAAGTCCACGTGCAGCAACAAAGACCCAGAGCAGCCAAAAATAAATACATATACAAATAGAATTATTTTAAAAAGAATATATTATACAACACAAGGAGTATAGCCAGTATTTTCTAATAACTATAAATGGAAAGTAACTTTTAAAAATTGCATTAAAAATTAATAATAAAATAAGAGAAATCAGTTAGAGATCTTTGAAAGCATAAAAATATACCTCTACTGATGTCTTCCACTGCAAGTAGATCATCTTCAGTGTCTTCCAGTCGAGGGGAACCACACAGTCTTCTGGCAACAAAGATTCTGGGGGCAGGGGGAAGATAACAAATTTCATCTCTCCTGTCACACATACTTTTACCCTGAGTATGAAGATATGCAAATATGGTATCTAGACCTCCATGATAAAAGCCTGGTTTTGAAGATATTTCAGTGACAGCTAAAGCAGGAATTAGTTTGTCTCAGATTCCTATTAGCAAACACTACCCAGACTCAATAAAAATGCCTATGTATATATGTAATGTGTATCTTAGTTCATATTCTAGTGTAAATACAAATATATACACATCAGCAGCTTCAAGTGGTACTGTCACAGGGCATAAAATTTAGGAAGGCATCTTTTCCTGAGACATTGTATAGAATAATGCAAGCACAGCAAGTTTAGTCTTCTTGCAAATTTCTCCTTCCACATAAGAGTGTATGGGGGGAAAATCCTGACAATTAAGATACTCATAAGCAAGTCCTCGCATTGATCTAAACAAATCAGCCAAATTAAACCATACAAGAAAAAAAAAAGAGAGAAAAAAATAAAATAAAATAAACCATACAAGATATTCTTCCTATACTTGCACATCCCTAGCAATGTGAGTAGCTTTGTTTTTTCAGGTCTATATATGGTTACTATATAATCCTACTGTGTCTACAGATTTTCTAATAATAGAATTCAAGTTCCCTGTCTTATTGACAAGACCGTAGATACGCCAGAGCTTTGCTCCTTCGACCTTTGGCTGTAAACGAATTGGTTTACAGCCTCCACTTAGAGTTTCCTCCTTTCCTTTTTTAAGCATGTTCTGCAGTGCTCGTGCTCAGACCTCATTTCACAAAGAGGTCCTACTCTGCAGCCGCATGGACTGCAGCCTGACAGGCTCCTCTGTCCATGGGATTAGCCAGGCAAGAATTTTTCAAGCATACACTATTTCCAAATGTAAAATTCTTTCCCTCTGTTTTTCTTTTAAGTCACATTTGTATGATATAAGCACAGTTTACAATTCACTCCCATTTGGAGCCATCCCAGACAAAACCACAACCCGATATTCTCTTCTACAATCCCTTTGGCACAGCTAACCTCACTCATAAAATATTCATAAGCTTATCATTTAGATTTTCTAGGCACAATAATTTTGTTTTGTGTTAGTCTTGTCTCCCCATTTAGAAGGTAAGCTACTTGATGAATGAGGTCTATTTCCTCTAAAAAGCTTTCCAAAGCTTAATTAATGGATGCTGGATCATTATTGTTGATTATGATGGTATTGTACATTCAGGGGAGGAGGTTTAGAATCTTTTCCCACTAGTGCCTTCATGCTTTCTGGTGCTGATCTAAGGCAGTGATTATTAACATTTTTGGGTCACAGACATCCCTGAGAACCTGATAAAATCTAAGGACTTTCTCCCAGAAAAAATGGCACAAAATGACACAAAGAATTTTGCATACAATTTCAGATAAAATTTCAGAATATGAACTTTGGAAAAAGATTCCTGGCTTAAAAGCAAATGCAATTTAACTTTTAAAATTGGGATATTTCTTTGGTGCTTCTAGGAGAATAGAAAATGGCAGCAAATAGTAACAATGTGATTATTCACAAAGTTTACAAAAATGGTAAGAATGACACCAGAACAGGTTGATAGTTGTGAGTCCTCAGACTCTGAGATTTAACCAATCTTGGGTCTGAGCTGAGTTAACCAAATATGTAGAAAACAGCAGAAGTTCAGGAGCAAAGCTAAAACCACTGCAAGTTAAAGTGTGAGGGAATCCCAGGCTCAGTGGTAGGTGCAGAGGAAAAAGAGTATCAGGAAGATACTGGATGCAGGGACTGGAGCTTTACTTCTTGGCTCTTACAGCTTCTGTCCCCAAGGAAGGGGACATATAATTGCATAAAATCATTAACATATGCAACTGACTTACAGACAAGGAAAAATTGGGATATGTTCTTCATTTACTTTTTAAGATATTCAGTATCTTAAATAGGCATATTATTTAGAGGAAATGTACTTAGAATATTTACTTAGAATATTATAATAATATTACTTATAATATTAAAAAAAGTAAGTCAACCAGTCAGACTCCTTCCTAACCTTCTTTTCAGTACCCTTCTCAGACAGTCTTTAAAAATTAAACTGATTTCAGGTATTTTTTCATCACTTAATTTTCATTGTCCATCATTTTACTATTCTCATATCTATAAGCCCAACTGTGAAAGAGAAAGGGTCATATGCCAAACAAGGGAAATGAAGAAAGCAGAAAATTTTTTCCAAAAATAAAGCAGTCCATCTCTATTTGTTACCAATCACTGTTAGCACACTGTCTCATTCTTCATTCTTCCTACTGTCTGTTTAAATTGAGAGTCCAAGTATTCCACATGCTCAAAGACATTTCAGACTACCGGTCATCCTGGCGGTGCGAGTGGGGGCTTGACTCCATCAAGCACCATTTGCTATACATCCTCTACTTCCACCTCTGAAAAGCATCGCAAGATCAGTTAACTGCAAGAAATCACTAACACGAGGTAGAAATACCTCAAAAATCACTTGCATATATTAAATTGGACTTTTTATTTGTACCAAATAAACTCAATTTACCCACTGGAACTCCAGGAGATCCAAAAAGCTTTACAAGTTGAAAGGCAAACTCCTGTGATAATGGTAGCTCAAGGGAATCAAAGTAGTCAGGGCTTGTTAAATCTTGGTTATCCTGACTGTGTAGGAACGGTAAAGGCTGAGGTTCTTCCCATGTCTTTAGCTTTTCAACAAAACTTTTATTTAAGGAGTGCAGATCAGAGGTGACACCAAAAGAGTACAAAGTATCAGGCTGGCTACTTAAAATTTCTGAAGATGTAAACCTTACATCATTTGGTTTATCATCTACTCTCCTCTCAGAGTTCAAAGTCGAAAACAGTTTCTTGCCTGAAAAAGATATCTTCCAAAAGCTAGATGGATACTGTAGCATAAGAGAAGGAATGGGATTTCTGTAAAAATACACAGAATGCCTTACTCTATTAAATAGCAGGTAATGAGAATAAAATTGTCCACCAACATTTAGAAGAGAATCTTTGACAATGTCAAAGTAAATGTCAAAGTAAAACCATGATGGATGATAATCAAAGGTCATAATGTGTTGCTTATTCTCTTCATTATTTATTTCTGAAATTTCATCTTTTTCTTCTTCCAAAATAATTTTTAGTCCATGGCTTTCTGTTAACAAGTCACATTTCCCCATTTCTTTTACACTGGTATGACTCTGTGCCAGTAAGTTAAAGTTTGGTGCCAAACTGAAAATCCTTTTCTGCCTCCTCTTTTTATTCTCTGTTGAATGTAAGGTACTCTTCAGGATATCCAGTTTAAAGAAGTGGCTTTTAAAGATATTTGTCTCTGTTTCTATGACTGACTCTATATTCTCAGTTGGAGATGACAAATCTTCACTTTCTATCGATAGCTTCTCTTCTATCAATGTTTCTGGACTGTCTCCTGGCCCTTCCGAAGTGGAGATCAATTTGATCAACTGCCCCCTGCTGTCAGGATGAGCCAGCTTTTGCCGTCTATCTTTCTTTGGTCTCTGTTCACATATAAACTTATAAGGCCCCTCAGGCCAGCTACCAAAATAGGGTTGTCTATCAGAGCCCAACTGTAAATCACCATCGGACAAATCATTTGAGAAAAAAGCCCAATTATTGTTTTTAGTTCTATTTACTGCTTGTTCCTTTCTTAAAACTTTATCTGATGTTCCGGATGTATATTGATAGCATTGACTTGTTTCATTCAGGAAACTCTCATCTACCATCTCTCCCTCCTGCATAAACGAGCATGGGGCTTCAACAAATTTGTCCTGGGTGTTTAATGTCATGATATTCCTATTTTCAATATGCTTTTCTACCTCTGTGACAGAACAGTCATCACTTGCTACATAGGAAAGATTTTGAGTCACTGTTGGACAAGAAACAGAACTTTCATTTGGCATCAATGACAAACTTAGAAACAAGTCATCATTATCTTTAGGGAGGTAATTCTTTGGTGGACTGTCCCACTCAACTACAGGCATAACATCTGGCAAACTGTTTTCAGAATTCATGTCTTCCTGTCTTTTATCCTTATGGACATTCACAAAATCTCCCACTTCATTTCTCAGATCAACAGTTAAGGAACACTCCGACTCCCTTTTGGTCTCTTCTAAGTCTTCCTCTTCACTCTGAGATGGGTCCTGATCTCCTGGTGTAAGATAATTTAAGGTTTCAAATGAGTTTTCCTCCATGATTTTATTATGACTGTTCTGCTTTTTACTTCTTTTTCTGTTTCTCTTCCTGGTTTTGCTGAACCTGTGCCCAGTTTTCTTCAAATCTCTTTCTCTGAAATATAAAAAAGAAATTTATAACTTAATTACTTGTATAACAATATAAACTAAAACATTATACTCAATGTGCAGATTTACAAATCATTAGTACAAGAGATTCTAAAGTGTGTGTGCACCTTGTACTATGGTGGTGGTTTAGTCACTAAGTCATGTCCGACAATTGCGACCCCACGGACTGTAGCCCATCAGGCTCCTCTATCCCTAGGATTTTCCAGGCAAGAACACTAGAGTGGGTTGCCATTTCTTTCTCCAGGGGATCTTCCTGACCCAGGGATCGAACCTGGGTCTCCTACACTGCAAGCAGGTTCTTTACTGAGCTATAAACTTTAATCCTCTAAATTAAAAATGAATACACTTTGAGAAAGTTACAACTCATTTCATAAACAAATAACTTTATGAAAATCTAATGTTTTCCTTAAGATACTTAATATATATATATATATTATTTTGAAAAGTGACAGATATAGTCTAAATGACACAGCTTTAAAGGCTCAAGTAGTAGATTTTCTCTAGTCATAAAAACTCTGTCAACTAAGACGCTCCATCAATTTGTAAAGAACAGCTGATGATGAGCAGTCAAATTCAGTACTGGAATGATATGCTTCTAGTAGGTTAGTAAGCATTGGTTCTAAATCAGAGGCTCCACCACTGCTCTGTGGGGTGTGTGGAAATGTGGGAAGGCATTTTTGGGTCACTGGCACTTGGCACTTAGGTCAGGGGTGTTAACTATCCTGCGATGCCAGGGACGGTTTCAAGTGAAAACTTATTCTACCCAAATGAGCAGTAATGCTCTCATCAAGCACACTAAAAGTTCACAGTGCCCCTTAATTAAAAGCAATCTTAGATTCTGAGGGAAAAACAGAGGACTTAGGAAATATTCTAATTTAAAATATAAAGGTTTCGTTATCTCCTCTTCCACAATGTACAGATGGAAAGAGGAAAATGTAGTGGAGGAAGGACCACAAGACGTAGCTGAGGGAAAAAAATCCCAGGTAGAGGAACGGAAAATAAACAATTAGCCAAGCAAACAAACACTGAAGTAGAGAAAGATAATGAGGAAAAGAGAAATCAGTCAAATTGGTTGGGCGTTGGACAAAAGAGCTTATTAAAACTACCCCAGCCTCTGGCCTGATTTATTCCATCCCATGTTGCTGGGCAATTTTCAATAGGCAAGACCCCTGAATACCTCATTCTTTGTTAACTAATTGCTGCTGCCTTTGTTTACACATTCCTTGATGTTGGTTTAGAAAGGACATTAAGATTGTAAATCAACTACTCTTCAATTCAAATTTTTTTTTAATATAAAAAAGAACATAAGGACAGCAAATTCTGAGAAGCAGTTAAGATGGGGTTTCTATAAAAAGGATGTGGAGTAAAGAATGGCAACTGTGGCAGTAGCTCTCCTTTATGGTCAGTTCTGTCAGACTCCAGTGAAAGGTCTAGTTGAAGTCTAAGGTGCAGTCAGTTGTAAAATGCACACTGCAGACTAGTCTGCTGTTCTGAAAACAAACTCCACTGTCTTCATCCAAACATGCATCATCTTGTTGTAGGGCAAGGAGGAAAAGAATGAGTCGAGTTTGTTGTTGCTTTATTTATTGGACTAAATGGTATAAAAGAATGAGTGTTTGCTGTTGCTTTATTTATTGGACTAAATGGACTTAAGATTCACTCCAGGCCTTGTGACTCTGTGGAGTTGAATGCACTTCACGTGTAGCCACTGTTCCTTTAAACAGTTCTCTACTGCACAAGAAAGGAGAACTCTAAACTACGGAAATGGGTTCCTATATATGGTTCATCACAAAAATGTTTATAGATCCTTACGCCACCAGGAATTCTAAGGTCCACAATGCTACTTTGAAAACTGGTTTTTTCTTTAAAAAAAAAAAAGCTATTTAATGCACACTTACTCTGTATTAAGATTATTTAATTCCTTTATATGTACAAACTTACCTAATCTTCTTCATAACAACCATATGTAATAAGGCAAATGCCAGTTTTACTCCCATCTCAAAAAGGCAACTGAAACAAAGAGAAGCTTCAGAATTTTCTGTACTGCAGCCACAATAGAAAATAGCATGGAGGCCCTTCAAAAAGTTAAAAATAGAACTATCATGTGATCCAGCAATTCCATTTCTGGGAATATATCCAAAGGAAATAAAAACACTAATTCAAAGAGATAGCTGTACCCCATGTTCACAGAAGCATTACATGGAAACAAGTGCCCATCAATAGATGAATGGATAAAGAAGTTGTGGCGTATACAATGGACTATTATTCAGTCATAAAAAATGAGGAAATTCTACCATTTGTGACAACATGGATGAACCTTTAAGACTTTATGGTAATTGAAATCAGTCAGACAAGGAAAGACAAATACTGTATGATCTCACTTATATGTGGAATCTAATACAAAATGAACAAGAAAAACTCATAGAAAAAGAGGTTAGATTTGTGGTTACCAGAGGTGGGGACTGGGGTTGGGCAGAAATGGAGGAAAGTGGTCAAAAGATACAAACTTACAATTATTCAATAAGTAAGCATTGGGGATTTAACATAGTAACACAGTAACTATAGTTAACATTGCTATATGATACACAGTAAAGTTGTTAAGAGAGTAGATTCTAGGAGTTTTCACCACAAAGAAAGAAATTTTTTTCTTCTTATTGTATCTACATGAGTTGATGGATGTTAACTAAACCTACTGTGGTAACCATTTCACAACGTATGTAAATCAAATCATCTTATTGTACATCTTAAATTTACATTGATATATGTCATTTTTTCTCAATAAAACTGGGGGAAAAAAATCCCAGGGTCACATGGCTATTGGCAGGATTCAGACCAAGGCTCACTGGCTCTCCATTCTATATTGTTTACCCATTATACAAAATTGCCCCTCAACTTAAAAAGAGAGTTTTACAAAAACACTTTGCTTCTCTTTCTCCTCCTCTCATCTTTAAATTCTCATGTCCATAAACAGAGATACCCAGCTGGTAAGAGTTGAGTCCTTTTCTTGGAAGCAGTTCTTGGGTCTTAACTCATACTATCCCTAACCTAATAGTGTCTTTAGACTTTTCTCTGTGTTATCAAAGCAAATAGAGAACAACAGAAAGTGAGACAAGGTAGTGTGAAGCAGGACCCATCTTGCTAATCAGACTTTATGTCAAGATTTTATATGAGAAATGGAAAGACCAGAGTAGATGGTTTATAATTCAGACAGGCTGATGGACACAGAGGCTCCTCCTGGAGTTAATTCATTTGTCATGGGGTAAAGGTAGTGAAGAGTAATCATATTTTGGATATATTTTGAAGGAAAGACATGCAAGAGTTGAAAATCAATTGGTTAAAGTATGAGAAAAAAGATAATGACTGCAAAGATTTTGGCTGGAATAACTGAAAGGATGAAGAAGCCATTTGCTGATACACAGAAGCCTGTGCAAGGTATGGATTTGGAGGCAGTGCTGCTGAATCAATTGCCTCAAATTTCAGCTCAGAGTCTTAATCAGCAAATTAATCTGTCCCTTTAGCAGAAGTTAGAAAGTAGAAAAGATGAGGGTTTCTCTAATATGCCTCATGAGTTCCTATGCTTTTTTAAATGAATTATAATCTGATAATAAAGCTATGACCAACCTAGACAGCATATTAAAAAGCAGAGACATTACTTTCCCAACAAAGATCTGTCTAGTCAAAGCTATGGTTTTTCCAGTAGTCATGTATGGATGTGAGAGCTGGACTATAAAAAAAGCTGAGTGCCAAAGAATTGATGCTTTTGAACTGTGGTGTTGGAGAAGACTCTTGAGAGTCCCTTGGACTGCAAGGAGATCCAACCAGTTCATCCTAAAGGAAATCAGTCCTGAATATTCATTGGAAGGACTGATGCTGAAGCTGAAACTCCAATACTTTGGCCATCTGATGCGAAGAACTGACTCATTGGAAAAATCCCGGATGCTGGGAAAGATTGAAGGCAGGAGTCAACAGAGGACAAGATGGTTGCACACCATCACCAACTCAATGGACATGAGTTTGAGTAATCTCTGGGAGTTGGTGATGGACAGGGAAGCCTAGAGTGCTGTAGTCCATGGGGTCACAAAGAGTCGGACATGATTGAGCAACTGAACTGAACTGAACAATCTGATATCTAATTAGAGAAAGGATAGTAGAAACCTACCAATGATGAAAACTCATGATGCCTACAGAGAATTTAACATTAATCATGAAAGAAAGAGGTGGCTTAAAAAAATAAACTATTAAAATCTAAGAGATCAGGCAATTTATTAAAGCAGTTTGCTAAAACTTAATCCAAGTAGTCTTAAGGACTGGAATTTTCATAAAAAATACAATGCCAAAAAGTATGAAAATCAGACTAATTCTACAAGGAAGTATGTCAGAGACCTGTTCTGGTTCCACACCATGGAAACTCTGTATAGTGACCACACTTATCCCAGTACTTGGAACGGGCCTTCTGGAAAGAAAACACAAACCATTAACAGGGACTTGTGAAGCATGTGGGAGATTAGAAGAGTGGTAATGGTGGTGATAACTTCTTCGAGAATGTATATACACTGGATGTGCCTAGTCAGTATACACATTTATTTATAAAGTGTAAAAGGCTCATCAAACCTATGTTGTACTCATGCTGATTCATTTAGGGATGAATGGCACCATTAAAAGAAAAGAAGCATCAAGAAATATAAGTTAGTCATGGAGAAGAAATCAGGAGAGTTGGAGGAATGGGCTGTAGCTTTCAAAAAGAAAGGAAGAAATAAGACAAGAACAAATGGTGACATATCTCTGAAAATAAGATTTAGCTTTTAGATAATGGCTTAGAATTCAAGCTCCTGGGTAGGGATGGAGTGTACCTTTTAAGAATCAGAAAGATAATGTTTGCTCAGGGGCAAGTTAACCTGACCAAGTGAATCGTGACCTGAAGACAAAGGTGAGAGAACATCCAGATATAGCCAAAGCTGGGGGACAAAAAAGTTATTGCTTCATGTT